ACAAGGAAAAATGTCTGGGGTGGTCACTGCTGACTACGGCCTCTTAATCAGTCACTGTTTGGCTACAAATCATTCTCGGAGGTGCCTTTATGAGCTCTCTGGAGGTTGGGACTTGATGTCTTACGTCTAAATTACATGGGACACGGTTGCAGTGTGACAAGTTTGCCACAGCATGCCTGCAGCAGAGTGCATCCATTATAATCAAGTGAAGCTGCTACACTGACCATGGAAGCTGTGCTTGCCCGTGCGGAATCAGGGACATGGTAGACAGCAAACTGGATATCATTTTAGTGGACAAGAGCAGGATGGTAGAATTAGTTGAGGCCAGCTTAAAGCAATTCTGCGAAAATCTTAGCAAAAGGTTTTTAAAAAGATAGATGTAAAAGCGGAAGCGGAGTGGAAAAGCCCAAGTATCTGTTGTTCTTATGATCGTCATCATGTCAATTAAGCCATATCATATCATAAAAACAGGTTTGCCAGACCTTGCTCAAGTGTGACAGGGTAATTTCAGGTACCTGGTGGACAGCTGTTAATCTACAGCCAGCACAATATTGCGCAGTACATGTCTTGTATCCACTGACCTACGGAGTCACTTACGGAGACACTAGCAGTCAAACAATGGAGAGAGACACGCAGAGAGTCAATCTGAAGAGGGAAGTGGGGATTATAGGAGCTGTATCATTCATTGCCGACGTCAGTATAGGATCTGGGATTTTCATTTCCCCCCAGTTCGTGATGTCCTTTAGTGGCAGCCCCGGGGCCAGCTTTGTTATATGGACTTGCTGTGGGTTGATAACCATGCTGGCGGGACTCTGCTATGCTGAACTGGGCACAGTCATACCAGAGTCTGGAGGAGAGTTTATCTACATTCTGCGGATGGCAGGACAAGTGGTGGCCTTTATGTTCCAGGAGTAAGAGTTTCACTGTTTGTTGTTTTCATAATTACCTTGTACGCTCAACAAGTTCCTTAAATTACTTTATGGTTTGCCATAAATTACAAAGATCTAATGATCACCTGTGACAAATGAAAAGTTGAGAGATAATATACTTGGGCAATAAGCAATGCAGTCTTACAGAATGGGTCAGTTTAAATGACAGAGGTTACCAATTTACCAGTCACAGTAAGATACCAGAATTACATATTGTAAAGTGATTAGAATCTTGCGAGAAGAACTGTATACAGATAAAATATTGCCTCCAGTGGCGCACAGTTAGTTAGTTGTCTTGGCATAGCTTGTCAGGAACACTTTAAAGTTAGGCTTAATTTGGGCAAGGGAACAACTATTATTTATTGGCAATGTTTTAAACTAACCTATATATACTTTAACAGCAAAATCGAATTCCTTAAATTCAGTTATGGCTTTTGGTTTTGGTGTGCCAGCCCAAGATTTTCAGTGGCCCTATCTGGCCAACACAAGGAAAAATGTCTGGGGTGGTCACTGCTGACTACGGCCTCTTAATCAGTCACTGTTTGGCTACAAATCATTCTCGGAGGTGCCTTTATGAGCTCTCTGGAGGTTGGGACTTGATGTCTTACGTCTAAATTACATGGGACACGGTTGCAGTGTGACAAGTTTGCCACAGCATGCCTGCAGCAGAGTGCATCCATTATAATCAAGTGAAGCTGCTACACTGACCATGGAAGCTGTGCTTGCCCGTGCGGAATCAGGGACATGGTAGACAGCAAACTGGATATCATTTTAGTGGACAAGAGCAGGATGGTAGAATTAGTTGAGGCCAGCTTAAAGCAATTCTGCGAAAATCTTAGCAAAAGGTTTTTAAAAAGATAGATGTAAAAGCGGAAGCGGAGTGGAAAAGCCCAAGTATCTGTTGTTCTTATGATCGTCATCATGTCAATTAAGCCATATCATATCATAAAAACAGGTTTGCCAGACCTTGCTCAAGTGTGACAGGGTAATTTCAGGTACCTGGTGGACAGCTGTTAATCTACAGCCAGCACAATATTGCGCAGTACATGTCTTGTATCCACTGACCTACGGAGTCACTTACGGAGACACTAGCAGTCAAACAATGGAGAGAGACACGCAGAGAGTCAATCTGAAGAGGGAAGTGGGGATTATAGGAGCTGTATCATTCATTGCCGACGTCAGTATAGGATCTGGGATTTTCATTTCCCCCCAGTTCGTGATGTCCTTTAGTGGCAGCCCCGGGGCCAGCTTTGTTATATGGACTTGCTGTGGGTTGATAACCATGCTGGCGGGACTCTGCTATGCTGAACTGGGCACAGTCATACCAGAGTCTGGAGGAGAGTTTATCTACATTCTGCGGATGGCAGGACAAGTGGTGGCCTTTATGTTCCAGGAGTAAGAGTTTCACTGTTTGTTGTTTTCATAATTACCTTGTACGCTCAACAAGTTCCTTAAATTACTTTATGGTTTGCCATAAATTACAAAGATCTAATGATCACCTGTGACAAATGAAAAGTTGAGAGATAATATACTTGGGCAATAAGCAATGCAGTCTTACAGAATGGGTCAGTTTAAATGACAGAGGTTACCAATTTACCAGTCACAGTAAGATACCAGAATTACATATTGTAAAGTGATTAGAATCTTGCGAGAAGAACTGTATACAGATAAAATATTGCCTCCAGTGGCGCACAGTTAGTTAGTTGTCTTGGCATAGCTTGTCAGGAACACTTTAAAGTTAGGCTTAATTTGGGCAAGGGAACAACTATTATTTATTGGCAATGTTTTAAACTAACCTATATATACTTTAACAGCAAAATCGAATTCCTTAAATTCAGTTATGGCTTTTGGTTTTGGTGTGCCAGCCCAAGATTTTCAGTGGCCCTATCTGGCCAACACAAGGAAAAATGTCTGGGGTGGTCACTGCTGACTACGGCCTCTTAATCAGTCACTGTTTGGCTACAAATCATTCTCGGAGGTGCCTTTATGAGCTCTCTGGAGGTTGGGACTTGATGTCTTACGTCTAAATTACATGGGACACGGTTGCAGTGTGACAAGTTTGCCACAGCATGCCTGCAGCAGAGTGCATCCATTATAATCAAGTGAAGCTGCTACACTGACCATGGAAGCTGTGCTTGCCCGTGCGGAATCAGGGACATGGTAGACAGCAAACTGGATATCATTTTAGTGGACAAGAGCAGGATGGTAGAATTAGTTGAGGCCAGCTTAAAGCAATTCTGCGAAAATCTTAGCAAAAGGTTTTTAAAAAGATAGATGTAAAAGCGGAAGCGGAGTGGAAAAGCCCAAGTATCTGTTGTTCTTATGATCGTCATCATGTCAATTAAGCCATATCATATCATAAAAACAGGTTTGCCAGACCTTGCTCAAGTGTGACAGGGTAATTTCAGGTACCTGGTGGACAGCTGTTAATCTACAGCCAGCACAATATTGCGCAGTACATGTCTTGTATCCACTGACCTACGGAGTCACTTACGGAGACACTAGCAGTCAAACAATGGAGAGAGACACGCAGAGAGTCAATCTGAAGAGGGAAGTGGGGATTATAGGAGCTGTATCATTCATTGCCGACGTCAGTATAGGATCTGGGATTTTCATTTCCCCCCAGTTCGTGATGTCCTTTAGTGGCAGCCCCGGGGCCAGCTTTGTTATATGGACTTGCTGTGGGTTGATAACCATGCTGGCGGGACTCTGCTATGCTGAACTGGGCACAGTCATACCAGAGTCTGGAGGAGAGTTTATCTACATTCTGCGGATGGCAGGACAAGTGGTGGCCTTTATGTTCCAGGAGTAAGAGTTTCACTGTTTGTTGTTTTCATAATTACCTTGTACGCTCAACAAGTTCCTTAAATTACTTTATGGTTTGCCATAAATTACAAAGATCTAATGATCACCTGTGACAAATGAAAAGTTGAGAGATAATATACTTGGGCAATAAGCAATGCAGTCTTACAGAATGGGTCAGTTTAAATGACAGAGGTTACCAATTTACCAGTCACAGTAAGATACCAGAATTACATATTGTAAAGTGATTAGAATCTTGCAAGAAGAACTGTATACAGATAAAATATTGCCTCCAGTGGCACCCCCTCTTGTGTTATCAGACAGTTAGTTGTCTTGGCATAGCTTGTCAGGAACACTTTAAAGTTAGGCTTAATTTGGGCAAGGGAACAACTATTATTTATTGGCAAAGTTTTAAACTAACCTATATGTACTTTAACAGCAAAATCGAATTCCTTAAATTCAGTTATGGCTTTTGGTTTTGGTGTGCCAGCCCAAGATTTTCAGTGGCACTATCTGGCCAACACAAGGAAAAATGTCTGGGGTGGTCACTGCTGACTACGGCCTCTTTATCAGTCACTGTTTGGCTACAAATCATTCTCAGAGGTGCTTTTATGAGCTCTCTGGAGGTTGGGACTTGATGTCTTACATCTAAGATACATGGGACACGGTTGCAGTGTGACAAGTTTGCCACAGCATGCCTGCAGCAGAGTGCATCCATTATAATCAAGTGAAGCTGCTACACTGACCATGGAAGCTGTGCTTGCCCGTGCGGAATCAGGGACATGGTAGACAGCAAACTGGATATCATTTTAGTGGACAAGAGCGGGGTGGTAGAATTAGGTGAGGCCAGCAGAGAATTAACCACAGATACATAGATACCAGAGGCTACAATAACATTTCCCTCACAGAGTGGTTGGTCTCACAGTCTTGGTAGTGTAAGGAACTTTGCATCCAGAGGGAAGCTGAAGTAGAACCATTGCTCCATCCTTCTGAGGGGAGCCAGTAGAATAGTATTTTTCATATGTGTCACGAACTAATGAATAACAGCAGATCTCCTGGTGTCATAAACATATCAGCATAGAATTTACAGTACTATAATATGGCAATTCATTATAATTATTTTTTCACTAGAGGCCTTAAGTAATATGTTGTAATATGTCATTCCTTGTTTATTATTTATGTATTAGTATTTGTCACATGCATGTATTTATTTCTTTCCCTGAAAATAGAGGTCCAAACCAGACCTCTTGCATTTGAAAGGAAGAAGGAGCATTAAAATTCTTAAGCAAAAACAGGCATTTGGGTTATATTTCAAGTCTGACAAACCATTCCAAATAATCAGACTGTGAGAACTGAAATCAACAGGAACATATTTTAAGATTGTCCTTGCCCTGTTAATACTTAAGACAAGCAATATAATCTTGCAAGCAGTACTTTCAGGATTTCTTGCATTAGGTTTGCAAATTCAACCTACTTGTTTACACGGACCCCTAAAAATGTTCTTACCAGTGGTTTGAACACAAACCTATATCAAATAAACTTTGGTGTGTAAAGGGAAAAAATAATTGTCTTTAAAGAGAATGCAACTGGAAGTAATGAGCAAAGTCAAAGCCACACCACGCCTTGGTTTAGTGGCTGTTGAAGGCCAGGGTACTTTCATCTGCTGTTTTGACCAGTGCAGTTAATCTACAGCCAGTTCTGGGTATGTGCGTGTCCAGCATCCACTGTGAATGCCTTTGAGGAAGCAGCAGGTCTCAAACAATGGAGAGTGACACACAGAGACTGAATCTGAAGAGGGAAGTGGGGATTATAGGAGCTGTATCATTCATTGCTGGAACCATGATGGGATCTGGGATTTTCATATCCCCCCAGTATGTGCTGTCTACTATTGGCAGCCCCGGGGCCAGCTTTATCATATGGACTTGCTGTGGATTGATAGCCATGCTGGGGGGTCTCTGCTACAATGAACTGGGCACAGTCATACCAGAGTCTGGAGCAGAATATATCTACATTCTGCGGACGGTAGGAAAAGTGGTGGCCTTTATGTTTGTCACCAGCTTTGTCATTGTAATGAGGCCTGCCAGTGCTACAGGAATTGCTCTGAGTTTTGCTGAATATGTCGTGGCCCCCTTTTACAGTGGCTGCACGACTCCACAAGTGGTGTTGAAGTTGGTGGCAGCAGGAGCTATCATTGTGCTGGCCATAGTTAACTGTATGAGCGTACGCTTGGCCACCGCCATCCAGGTGGGCTCCATGGTAATAAAATTGCTGGTACTGGCAGTGATCATATTAGGAGGTGTTGTGAAGCTTTTCCAAGGACACACCGAGAACTTTGATAACTCTTTTGAGGGAACAAATGCTGATGTCAGCTCCATTGGCATTGCTTTCTATCAAGGCTTGTGGTCCTATGATGGTTGGAACACTCTGAATTATCTAACTGAGGAGCTGAAACATCCAGAGGTAAGAGTTTCACTGTTTCTATTGATGAGTTCTAAAAATACAATCATGCTGTTAGAAATTGAGAGATTATACTTATGCAATCAATTGTGTGATCTACTAAGACTGTACATCTACAATCAAGAAAATACTTTTTTTGTCATTCATTGTTTATTGATTTTTTTTGAGGCATACAATTATTCATTAAACAAAACAAGACATTCACTTTTGCCAGGTGCACCCTGGCCTCATCTTTTCCTTAGAACAGAAATTTAATATTAACCTGTTATCGCAGCGTTAACAAGTCACATAAATAAAAAAAAGGCTTGACGCTAAATTTCGCAAAGCTGTCATGACTGTTTGATACACCAATAATCATCTGATTATCTGATAAGGGATTGCACAAGATAAGATTTGTGTTTGGAATCAAAAGCGGGATATACTGTTTACTACTACAGCGAATTTGAAATAGAAATTAAGTTACACATTGACCAATATTTATTGTCTCTTAACCAGGATGACAATCTGTCTGAGATGTGTAACTTACAGTCTACAGGTTCTTTATCTGGTTGTTCCCTCTGTGAGGGTGATAACAGTGACAGTGTTTTTATCACCATCTCTCTGATTCACGTGACTGTGGTGGACGAAGAACCTGAAGCCCTGAAAATCTTGGTGGGAAATTGGGTTGAACACCAGTGTAGCACTAGAATCAGGAACAAGGATCAGATCTGGTATTTTCATGTCCCCAGTTTGCATTGGCCTATGTGGAAAGCCCTGGAGAAAGTACGGTGATCTGCTCTCTCTCGGTAGATGTAGATATGTTTGTGGTGCTGTCCAGTAACGAGATTGGGACAGTCATTTAATCTGAAAGTCGAGAATGCATTAAAGTGCACTCAGTGCTCTTTGAGAACTCAAGGGATGACTTGTGATCAAGGACTTAGCTGTGACAATTTGTCACTGAGGAGCTGAAGACACCAGAGGTGAAACTATAAAGAGCTGGATTGTCTGTGTGCGCTTAACTGAGTAAAAGATAGCATTATCTTTTTCCCCAAATACAATAGTCCCTCACGTCACCAGACCAATGATACCTCGTTAAATATTACGCAGGACAAAGCTGCCTCAAGGTGTGATTGTTTGCTGCAGTGGTGTTCTTATCTAACTGACAAAGCTGTGTGCTTGTCAGTGATGTTATCATGTGCATGTGTGTATTTTTATGGAGAAAAAGTGGGCCACATAGGTTTTCAATCGCTGCAGACTTTTGTAGATGGATGTTAGGTAGTTATTTTTTATTTACTAGATGTTTGTAGATCTGGACTGTGTTTTTATGACCGAAAATTCTAATGGATAACTTAATACTACGCTGATTGTTTCGGGCTAAAGGCCAGTATGTGGTCTACACCTGCTAAAAGTTAAGGCAATCATTTTCCAAGAAGACATTTAATTGTAAACATCCTTCGTCATAGAACGTGTGAATGCTTATGCATCAACACGCTGAAGTGCACTAGCCAGTTATACTAAGTAATGACATGCAATGTCACCATAACCTTGTGGTTATGGTGGGAATTTGGGTTTTCAAAAGAAATGTCCTGTAAATCATTTCCCTTTTTTATGATTGTTGAATTTTTTGCTAGATAACACTTAGATGTAAACCCTATGGTAGTTCACACAGAGTCACTGGCTTCAGTTGAGCCGGCAGGAGAAAAGAAGAGCAACAGGCATGTGTAGACGATTACTAAGAGGCTGCAGAACCTTAATAGAGCTCATTTAAATCACTTTTGTTGTGGCTTTACAAACTTAATTTCTTATACTGTTGCCTCATTTGAAAATATTAAAAAAAATGTTGGTGAGGAAAGCAGAAAATAGTGTCAGTGTCAGTAAATGTATACAACCTGCAAACGCAGTTTGGCTCCAGATGTTTACAACACTTCATGTATGGTAGGGGAGGCCAAACTACGGCCTGCGGGCCAACTGGGGCCTGCTGCATGTTTATAAATGGCCCACAGGGATTTTTAGAAAGAAATTACAAAATGGCTTGAGCATATTTCTCATAAATTGCACTGTATGTATATTGTACACCCTAGTAAACACAATGTCGCTGTCATGTTGAAATACAACTGCTATTGAGCCCTGTCTTTGCACTTCTTAATTTGAACACTAGATGTCGTTAGTTCACCTACAATGATTGATCACTTGTCGATAAAAAACATGGCTACGGATATGAAAGGACAGAAGATAGATTAATACTTTTTGTAATATGTGGGCACTAATAAACTACCGTGATGTCAAATGTTGAACGGTTTAGTCGTAATGTGTAGTAATTTTGATAAAAAATCAAGGCTGAAAACCAGTATCAAAAGCCCATGACCTTTGATCCCTCAGACAGTCCTGCATTAAAAACTGACATGATACAGGATATTACTACATGGGCTCAGGAACAATTTTGAAAACCATCGTCGGTAAAGTGAACACCATATATCAACAACATCCAGAAATGGTGCTGACTTCACTGGGCCTGAGCTCATCTGAGATGGACAGACACAAAGAAGAAAAGTGTGCTGTGGTCTGACGAGTCCACATTTCAGATTGTTTTTGGAAAATCATGGACGTTGTGTCCTCTGGGCTAAAGAGGAAAAGGACTATCCAGATTGTTACCAGTGCAAAGTTCAAAGCCAGCATCTGTGATGGTATGGGGGTGTGTTAGTGTCCGTTGCATCATGGGTAACTTTTACATCTGTGAAGGCACCGTGAATGCTGAAAGGTACATACAGGTTTTGGAGCAACATATGCTGCCATCCAGATGACATATTTTCCAGGGAAGTCCCTGCGTATTCCAGCAAGACACTGGCAAGCCACATTCTGCACGTTATAATGGAGAGTCCCGGACCGCTGAGCAACTGAAGTTGTATATCAAGCACAAATGGAAAAGAAATTCACTTTCAAAACTTCAACAATCAGCGTCCAAACATGTTCCTGTTCCAACTTGATTGGAAAGTATTGCAGGCATCAAATTCAGAATGAGTGCACATTTACAAAAACACTAAATTTAATCAGTTGGAACATCATATATATAGTCTTTGTACTGTATTCAGTTAAATAAAGGTCACAAAGGACTTACAAATCATTGCAGTCTGATTTTATTCATGTTTTACAAAGTGTCTCAACGTTTTTGGAATCAGGGTTGTACTTTGGAGTGACTCCTGGCTCAGTCCATTATACCAGAGTCAGTATTAAAGCTATCCATCATGCAAGCTGGTACAGATTGACCTGAACATAAAAATTATATTGCCTTTTTTTCTTCCAGGTGAATCTCCCCAGGGCGGTTGTGATAGCCATTTCTCTGGTGACTGGCTTATATCTGCTGGTGAATCTGAGCTACCTGACGGTAATGACGCCAAAAGAGCTCATGTCCTCCAGCGCTGTAGCAGTAACCTGGGGGTAAGACAGCACCTGTATACATACAGTATTGAGGTAGACAGGTCCAGACTGGTAGTTTGACTTGCTGTTCCTGGTGTTAAAACGGCAAATTTTTAAAGTAGCATGAAATGAGTACTCCATCGATTTAACACTGCTCTCCCGTGACACTGCCGGACTCACAATTTTGTTTGGAAAAAAAAAATCTAAATCCATTCACCTGAACCAGAGATGGTCTTTTTTATTTCTCATGTCAGAACCTTGCACCCCACAGTTTGGTTGGGGAATTGAGTGTGTAATGTTAGTAGTGGCTAATGCAGCCTCTAGCCTGAAACAGAGATTAGGAGAACAGATTTCACACAGCTCCCTCTGGAGCCACAAATAGCGACATACAACCTCTTTTATATATGCTGTAGAGACCTGTAAACAGACTTTGATGTGTCAAATCAGTGGAGTTCCCCCTTATTACCCTGGCTTTTAATTAACTCTGTCATCAACCTGGTGGAAAAGCATGTCAGCAGAGCTTACCATTCATATATTAGACAAAAATGACATGTACTTTACTTGAATACAGGAGAGTTCAGAAATCAATGAGAAATTTAGAATTTTGAAAAATCTCTACTGTATCTAAGCTCTGTGTTGTATAGCAGGTGGCTTTTGAAACTTGGGAGGGTTGCTGTTGCAGCTTTTGTGAGAACACCAACCTTTTTTCCACAGGAATAAAGTGTTAGGAAGCTGGGGATGGATCATGTCTGTGGCTGCAGCATTGTCTGCTTTTGGTTCACTGAATGGGACATTCTTCAGTGGTGGCCGTGTGTGCTTTGTGGCTGCCAGGGAAGGACACATGGTGAGAATCTTTACTTAGCATGTTCAGCATTAGACGTTTGTTGGAAGGCTTACTCACAGACTTGTGCTTGCTTTGTAGCCAGATATTCTGGCCATGGCTCACGTCCACAGGCTGACTCCATCTCCAGCTCTGATCTTCACCACTGTTGTCTCTCTGCTGGTGCTGATCCCTGGAGACTTCCAAAGTATTGTCAACTTCTTCAGGTGAAATATGTGTCTGCTTTGCATGTTTTTAATGTTGACATTTCTTCCTTAATACTTGTATAAAGAATGCTTGTGTTTGTCTCACTGTCTTCTTCACTGCTGTTGTCAGTTTCACTGCCTGGTTCTTCTACGGCATCACCCTGTCTGGACTTCTTTATCTTAAAATTAAGAAGCCGGAGCTCCCCAGGCCGTACAAGGTCAGTGTCACACACACAGCCACTCTTGAAACACTAACATTTGTCTTTTTGTTAACACGGCATGAGAATCGCCATGTCCCTGTCTCTCCCTCTCTCTACAGGTTCCCATTATCCTCCCCATACTGGTCATCATTGTGGCCACATTCCTCGTGCTGGCACCCATCATAGACGATCCTCAGATTGAATATCTCTATGTGACTTTATTTATCTTAAGTGGAGCAATTGTCTACATCCCCTTCATCCATTACAAGCTCTGCCCAGGACTGCTGACCAAGTTAACAGTGTTCCTGCAGCTGTTCTTAGAGGTCGCCCCTGCAGAGAAAAACCTGTGATTTGGGCAGAAGGAAATGTTGTACTTCCAGTTTGTTTGTTTGCTTGTGCTTTTTAACTGCACCCACCTTTTTTTTGCCAGTGACACAAATGAAAATTTTCAGTTTACATTTAGTAGCCATTTTGTGTTACCTCCCAATTGGTCAGCACTTTTGACTTTTGAATTTTAGCCATCAGATACACACTGTTTTATTTGCTGATGTTCATAGTCGTTTTAGAGAGCACATTTGAAAAGAAATATAACTGAGAAGTAAATCTGTCATGTCAATATATTGCCAAAAATGTAATATGACTATTTTATAAATCTTTAAATTATGTTTGCTGTGCAACAGTAGGTGGCTGGACAGAGTATGCACTTGTACAACTGAAGATTCCTGTTATTGTTTGTTTTTGAAATTTCCATTTCAGTTTATAATAAATGTTTATTTGCAAAATGTTCCAGATGAAAGATGCATATAAAAAATATTTTACATGAATAAACTTTTTTTTAACCTAATATCTTTTCTTAAATGATACAGTATTTTGATTTTGGGGAGTAAGAGGAGTTGTCACTGACAGACACCTGCACAAGATATAAATACTGGCAAACAAACTGATACCAGAGTGAGAAAGCGCACCATAAACTAAATGCTGCAGTGAGGTTAGCCACAACATCGCAGCTCTGAGTTGCATGAAACAAAAACAACGAAAGAATCAAACTGCAGCATCCTTTGTCATTCGTCATAGTTTTAAAGAACTATGTGTGATTTTAACATGATACATCAAAAACTTTGCTCTGGAAAATGGCGTAGCTGCGTTCCGCATCTCATACTTTTTCTTTTTACTTTTAGTAGGTGCTGCAGCTGCCCTTAAGAAATACATACTGTTGCATGCAGTATGCACACAATCAGGACATACTGGTTTGACTTAACATTACGCCCTGAACTTTGACCTTCTTGCACATATATCTGTGACCTTGGAGATAAAACAAAGCACCATTCACCGAGCTCACCAGAGACAGAGGTCAACCTGGAGAGCTCTGCTGTTGTTACTTTGCAATGTAGTTTTAATTTTTAAATTACAACTGCATACACTGTAGATTCTATAATATTTTCACAACAGTAAAATTACACTTGCATTTCTTTATTTTTTATAGTTGTGTCCTTTTGTTGTTGGTAATCTCTGAATATTTTGTCTACTTAGACAATTAATATTCTATTATTACTTCTGGCTGGTCATCAGTCAAATGAATGCATTCATTGGTCATTGCAGCTTTTGAGCTGTCAGCAAGTTGTCATCTGTCTGCAGCTCAGTCCATGTGACTCATCTTATACTGCAGAGAACTGTGGGTCAGAATAAGCATGCTGGCTTGCATACGGCAAAATGCAACCGAATGCAGGGGCGCATCCTGGTATTTTGGCATACTGCATCTGACAAACTATGTATTGGGACATATTAAATATTTTTCTGGCATACTATATAATATAGCAGTATGGATATTTGAATGCACAGTATATAAAACAATCTTTCAGCAGCTACTGGATGGATGGTCATCAGTTTGTACAGACATTTATGGTCAGGGTCAAGACTTTGGTGATCACCAGGAGGTTGACATTTTTGGGACATACTTTGTCTATATAGCCATTATTATCTCCCTCCAAATTAACTGTTATAATTGAAGAGTTTTATTTTAAATATTTTGGTTTCATATGCCTCAGCTGCTCAGTGCTATTTAGCAAATGTTAGCATGCTAACCCACAAAGCTAAGAAGGTGGACATGGTACACATTAAACCTGTGAACATCAGCATGTTAGTGTGTCAACAATAGCATTTAGCTTAGTGTGCCGCTGTGGCTATGACTGTAGACTTGCTTGTTTATCTAATACTAGTAGTCTCGATTAGTAATGACATTTGAATGCAGCTGATCCTACTGAAACAAATTCTTAAATCTTAAATTCAAAATAAACACTCATACAGGTTATGAATTTAAAAAAAAAAAGAGTTTATTAAATAATTTTTATCCACCAAAAGGATAAAACAAGACACGGCCAATTCATAGTGTAGCTTTCACATGACAAAGGATTGTTCAACACAAAATATGTTCAACACAAAATTGGAAAGAGCGGAGAGGGGAGAGAGATGTGTGTGTGTATGAATACACAGACCAAATTTATCACACAGTCAATATAATCTGTCTCATTACACTTGGTGCCTCTGGTTCGTTCAGCTTCATTTTTCTGTCACCTAACAAATTCAGCTTTTTTATGTTTTTGCTTGGAGGGTCTCAGAAAATAATGAGCTGTTTTGACGAGTAAAATAATGTTGCAATGTTGAAATAGCTTCTCAGTTAACCGACACAGCCTGAAAAACAAAAAGGTATTTACTTGGTGTGAGTGTGTAAATTGTATGTGTGTGTATTCAAGAGTCCTTTCGCCAAACTCCAGTTGAAGACTCGCTAATCCCCAGTCTTCTTCTCTGTGCCGTTAGAAGCATTTGACCGGCTTTCAGATGCGTCTTCGCTGCTCTGCTCCCCTGTCCCACTGCTGCCTCCCTGTGATGACTGGTGGTACAGCATGTGAAGCCGCTCTGCGTTCATGTCTGCATCCTCTGCACCCTCGCAGCACTTTATCCACATCTGAGGAATAGCCTCGATGCCATAGTGGGCCCCAGCGATGGCCCCTGCCATGCAGGCTATGGTGTCTGTGTCCCCTCCCAGGGCCAGGCTGTATGCTATTGTCCTCTCCAGGCCGCCGTAGCTCTCTGGAAGACATTCTCTGGGCTGCAGGCAGTGGAGGACGCAGAAGATGGCAGTGGGGACTGAGTGGAGCGCCGCAATGCCGTTACCTGGATGGAAAGACAGGAAATGTTGAGTGATAAGAAATCAGGAAAACAAACTGGAGTAGAATCTGGTAGAGGCAAAATGAGACAAAAATACAGTGGCCCTGAGAGCACAATGCAGAGCATGTGCAAATATATCGACATAAGCAAATGAAGAAACATCTTCACAAATTTGACAAAACGTGTGGAGCATTTAGAGAACAACACCAACTTAACAACATACGAAAGCATCAGTTCGACGACATGCAGCATTTTAAAAAAGCACTGCAAGAGGCTCACAACATAATGGCGAAGATGTTTCTTGATTTGTTTGTGGTGTGTTTATTTGCATGTATTTTCATAATATGCAATGTGTTAAGCTCTCATGGCCACCGTACAAAAATGTTAAATTAATATAGCGGAGTTCAGTGAGGCTGGAACACAGAGGACAGATCTATCACCCCTTATATGTTCTGTGTCCAAATGTGAAGCCTAAATTTTCAAAAAATAAAATCTTTAATTCAATAAGAGCAGCAAGAGGTAAATATCAAAATAATTTTTTCAAGATCTCTTAGGAGGACATGGAATTCCAGCCTACTGTTGGATATAGGTAAAATTATAAGTGAGTTAGTGAATTAGTCAGCCATGAGAAACTTATGATTATCGTTGAAGTGAGCACTAATTCACTTGTTCTAGCTTCTTGAATATGATCATTTGGTGGTTTTCTTGACCTGCTATGATAGAAGACTGAATATTTTGTGGTCTTGGACTGTTGCCTGGACAAAACAAGCAATCTGAAACAGTCAGCTTCGGCTATGGGAAACTGTGACGGGCATTTTTCTCCTAATTTCAGACAGAAACATTTATCGAGAAAAGATTATAACATGATAAAAATTCCCACTGCTTGCAGCCATAGAGAGTAATGAAAATAGAACACTGTGCGTATTAAAATATATGTTTTGTAAACAGTCAGTGGAGGAACCAAAAGGATGGATGGATGATAAAAAAGCTTTGTAAAAACCTCAATGTAAAGTCAAGATAAAGTCAAAGGTAAACAGATACTGACCCAGTTCAGAAATGACCTCCTCTATGCTGACCTTGCTCCTGTCCATCAGGTCTCTCACTCTGTGGAGGCGCTCACAGAACGGTTTCTCTGCTTCCTTTAGGCTGGAGAGAAACGACATGTTAAAGGAAGATTGACACTAAAATACAGCACATTTTATATTCTTCTTTATACCTCTAAAAATCTTCCATATTTCCTGCAGTGAACCCCAAACATCACACTGCAGCTCTGACCTCCTCAGACAGACATCACTAGTTCAGATCTGTGCTAAAGCAGCCGTAGAGGAGGAGAATTGAATCATGTAGTACTCACATTCTGGCATCGTTGCGTGCAGCCTCGTCGCCCTCAACTTCCTCCATCTCTGTAATTAGCCTGCTGATAAACTGCTGGGGCAGGTCTAACGCCCCTTGCAGGGAGAGGTGCACAGCTAATGCCTGCAGCACTGCCCCATTATAACCCAGAGAGCAGGAGTGGGTCAACATGGCACCCAGACGGGCAAACTGCAGAGAAAGAAAGAGAATGAAATCAGACCAACTCTGCACCAACAAGATAGTGGATCTTGCAGTGTGACCCTGTGTGTTTCATTGTCAGTCATAATTAGGACAAAATACACAGAAGGTGCAGGTGAACAAGGTTTCCAGCGAAATAAGCATTACTTTGTTGTTTTTTGTGATGAGTTAACAAATAAATTCAATCAACCTCATCTTTAGACACTTGTCTGGTTGGTAGCTGATCACAGACGAACCACAATAACACCCATGACATTTTAGTAAGCTAACCACAATGTCAATCTCATTCTGTATATAAACACTGCTACATACAGTACTCAAAGTCCGCAGGCTGAATACATTGACTGAATTCACTGAGTTGCTTCTTCATAAGCTATATCTCAAAGTCAAAGATTAAAATTAAAGAAAAGACCATTTACTGCAGAGATTTAAGGAAGAGTTCACCCCAAAATTGAAAATGCATATTTTTCCTCTTACCTGTATTGCTATTTGTCAATTTAGATTGCTTTGGTGTGACTAGCCAAGTTTTTGGAGATATCTGCCGTAGAGATGTCTGCCTTCTCTCAAATACAGTGGTGGAAAAAAGTTTTTGGACACCCCATGCATTTGTGAAATATTGCACTAAGAATCACTCTTAGGTCTTCAAGTGCAATTTCTTTTAGTACAGTCACAGCCAAAATACTAAATAAATCCTAAAAAAAAACATTAAAAACTTAAAATTGATTGGTTCCATAAAAATACATAAGAAATTTTGAGTATTGGGTCATTTTGGTACCAGTGATGAAGGTCGTTCTTTTTATTAAAAGACACAATTTTTGTTGCCAAGTTTCGTGTCTACATAAAGCCAGCACATTTGAAAGTTCTTCAGACACAAAAATGGCTAAAACAAGGAACCTAACGCAGGAAACACGCCTGAAGATAAAGATTCTCAGCCAGGAAGGGTACAGCTGCCGCCAGATAGCCAGGAAGTGCAGAGGCAGTCCTTCAGCAGTTGGATACACTCTGCAGAAATACAGACGAACCAACAGCTTGGAAGACAAACCAAGATCTGGGCGTCCAAGGGTTTCTTCAGCAAGAAATGACCACATCCTGATCCGCATGTGCAGGCAAAACCGCCGAATGACATCA